TATCTATCTATCTATCTATCTATCTATCTATCTATCTATCTATCTATCTATCTATCTATCCATCCATCCATCCATCCATCCATCCATCCATCCATCCATCCATCCAATTTCTAAACCATCCATCTTCCTCAGAAAAGGTCCTGGCAGTGTATTTGTAGCATTTTGTATGAAGCTAGATGTTTCCATGATGAAAAGTATATGATATCAAATCCCACAAGTCAAGATACTCAAGAGCCTTCAGAAATGCAGCAGCATATAAAATAATGTATACATTAGCAAGTTTTACATAAATAAAAATAATCATTTCCAATTAAAGGTTTCTTATAGGCCTAAACATAATCCCCAATTTCACACTGTAAACCAGGGGTGTCCAACCTTGGCAACTTTAAGACTTGTGGACTTCAACTCCCAGAATTCCTGAGCTAACATGACTGGAGGAGGAATTCTGGGAGTTGAAGTCCACAAGTCTTAAAGTTGCCAAGGTTGGACACCCCTGCTGTAAACCAAATATACTGTAATTATATTTGTTTATTAGGCATTTTTTCAAACCAAGGAGTGTTGCAGACAATATCCAAATGCAGCAATGCTGAAGATTTCTTAAAGGGGTATGGCCATTGCGAGCAAATCCAAACAAGAGAATGTTCAAAATAGTTTCACAATAAATGTAATGAACTTTAGTGCAAATGTCAGTTCTTAAATCTTTCTCAGCAATTTCTTCAGGGGCAAAATCAGTGTTACCCTACCTTGGCAACTTTAAGGTGTGTGAATTTCAATACCCAGAAATCCCCAGCCAGCATGTTTATTGGAGAGTTCTTGAATTCCACACATCATAAAATTGCTTAGGTTGGGAGACACTGCCTCAGATTGAGAATATTTAGACATGGAAAGATCTAGGAAAAAAGCAATTTATGCTATTGGAGGATGGAAAATTGCAGCAGTTTGCTAAGGGGAGATGGTTGAGCAAAAGAAATCAATTTTTATTTTTTGGGTGGCACTCCCAAAATGTGCAAATAGCCAAGGAAGAGGAGTCTGATTGCTTGGGACAATTAAAACAAAACAGTACGTAACCCTTGTTTGAAGCATAATGCATCACATGTACGTGGATCAAAAATCTCTGGGAATCTTTTTCAATGTCACTGCATCTCTGATCTGTCAAAGCTTCTTTCTAGCTTATTTTTAATCTGTTCTAGTCATCAAAAGTTACCCATCTCTCCTCTGGAATTAGAACTGAGTAAGGATCCACCAAATGAGAGTGGAGCAGGACAGCAAGGAGATGAATTCTGCAGCTTTCCAACTCCTATTGGACCATGTCTTTCATTCTTAACTGTTAGTCCTGCTTACTGATTGATAAGATTTGGATTCCAATAGTGTTGGACACACCACGGGTTTCTGGTTTATAGTCTGTCTATCCTCTATATTGTTTGTGAGGTCTGACTTATTCTCGTCCCAAATTGGGGGGGGGGGGAATCCAGTGTTCAGGAAACAGAATTATTCTTGCATCAAAACTTGTTGCCAAGATGGTATTTTCCTACTGATAAAAATGTGTTATTTGCAATTGATGTTATTCAGTTATGAATTTAGAAAGATGGACTTTCTACATTAGATATCATAAAAGGATATCTGGTGGATAAAGCAAGAACCACATTCTAAAATATTTTCACATGACTCAGAAGCCTTATTAAAAAAAATCTCTTTTCCAAGAACAACCACCATCTGATCTACAGACATCTAACAAACATGTAGCTGTTAGAAGAGACACATAAACCCTTTTGATTGGTCAGAACCAGGGTTGCTGTTTCATTCATTTATGTCTTTTATCAGACTTACTTCTGAACTTCGAACAACTTGAGACATAGCATCGAGCAGGTGAAACCTTTGTTGTTCAATAAAGTTATCTCTTTGGATTCTTTGCTCAAAGAATGCAGCTACTCTTGGGTCATGAAAAGCTGCTCCCCAGAATTAGAGGATCCTTTCACTAGGGACCTGTACCAGAAAGAGGAAATGGGCAAATGTTCCCCTTGGTCGAGAAGAAGATACAATCTCAGCCTAGATACTTTTGGTTCCAAGCCAAAAAAATCCAATTACCTTTGGACAGAAAATTCAAAACAAGAAAGGGGGCAGGGCAAAGCTGTTGATACATGGCCTGTATCTTGCAGGAAAAGACAAGGTTAGGGATCCACAGTATGGGGACCAGATAATTTTTTTGTTTCGCTTCTTTGTCTGATGAGTGGTTCCAATAAAGAAATATGCTTATCCCCCCACCCACAAATACCTTTCCCCCAAGGACTCTGCAAACACTATGATTGTCTAGTGCTGGTAAAGTACAACATGGGAAATTACCAATTTATACTTTTGTCTTCTGTGATCATCCCATGTGGTTGCATTAAAAAGACAATGCAGCATCCTGAGAAATGTCCCTTTAGTATAGAACTATTATTTTTGCAACTTCAAGCCTTTTCATTCTAAAATGGAAATATAAACAGTAGATGAAGCTGCAGAAGCTAGGGATAACGCAAGAAGTAAACAACAATTTCAGCTCTTCCAAATTTCCCAGCTCCTACTTATTCCTTTGTTAATAGGATTTGTCTCTACTAAATAATAAAATAAGTCTACTTATGTACTTATGCTACAACTGTGCAATTGAAAAAAAAAATCTAGTTGTGGGAAATATGGCACATAACATTTGGATTACTTATGATCAAACTGGTTTCTGTATGATTTTCCTTCTAGACAAAACTTCTGCATAAGTTACTACGAAGAAAAATATTGTTTTCCTGAAATCTGCAGCATTTCATGGAAGCTGTTTTGGTTTGCACACTCAAAGCCAAGAAAATAGGAATCTAATGAGTTCATAAAACAGACACACATACACCCCCACTCTTAAAACCACCTCTTTTGGAATATCTGTCATAGGTTTGGACACATTATAGACAATTTATCAAGGAGAAATAATATATCTCGCTATCCAAAGTTAAATAAAAATATACTGTTACATTCTCCCTCTGCTTTGACTTCCAAATAATAATTTATTGGAGCACTGTCACTCCAATTCATTGCCAAATGTTCATATTCAAATTGAAGAACAGAGAAAAAGGAAGTTTTCTCTACCCCTGGTTCCATTTTTCAACCAGCACAGATTCAGCTGGATATAAACCAGGAACCATCAGATTTATACTTTAGCACCCACTGTTAGTGGAATTCATATGGAAAGAATAGCAAGAGAAGAGGAAATTTATTTAGTCCATTGTAATACACTAGCCTTGATCTTATCCTGTTAGATATCAACTTTTGCCCATAATAGTTCAACAGCGATCACAATATTGTTTGGCTTGTTAACTATGTCAGCTTGACTTCCTCCAGTGAAACCTTAAGACGATCCCTTTCTACAGACTGCTTATCTGCATTCGTTCTTAAATCTTAGCCAACTGTAGCTAAATCTAGCTACCCTTAGCTAAATGTAGCTACCCCAGTCCAAATGCTGGATCCTGATCTGATTTTGGCTTGCTCAAGACACCAATCTGACTCATTGCCTATAATTCGCAAAAAGTGCTCCAGTTCTTGCCAATAGTCTTCTGGATTAGTATTACAATGTTGTGGAACTCCAATTGCTCAAAAGTTACAATTTTTATTTATTTAGTTTGTAAACATTGTTAAGTGAGGACCAGAAGATGTAGCCCTTACTTAAATGCCACACCAAGTCATATGTATCCTACATTCATACAAAAATCAATACAAATATTTCAAAACAACATGTATCTGCATGCCTCATTCCCTGGCCTCCTCCCTCCCACCCCCCTAGTTTTTACTGTCTGGTACAGATTCATAATCGAGATCACAGATCACAATGAAAAGAAAGGGGGGAAAAACCCACTAGCTTCTCCAACACAGTATCTTTTGCAAACTACCCCCAAAGTAACAGCTTTTCTTTTGAAGAATATTTTAGAAATTAGATATGGATTTCCAACAAATCCCCATTATGCCTACAGAGCTCAGCTATCTGGGAAGAAACACACGTCTTCAAGTATATTATAGCCTTCTTGTTCTTTTTTTTTTTTTTTTTGCTGTTATAATTGTTGTAAATAATACCAACAAGTCCAAAGTCAGGGGCCATGGTTTCGCTGTTTTAGAAAGAACAGAACAGCGGGAAAGAAAGAAAGAAAGAAAGAAAGAAAGAAAGAAAGAAAGAAAGAAGAAAAAAATAAAGAAAGAAAAAGAGAGAAAGAGAAGGGAGGGAGGGAGGGAGGGAGGAAGGAAGGAAGGAAGGAAAGAAGGAAGGAAGGAAGGGCAATCTTTAAAATCCCTCTATCATCTTACATTAGCTTGTTTTTTGCAGCAAACACAGAAGAACCATCACAAGTCAAAAGCCACATTTTCCCAGCATAAAACGGAATAGATCTCATCCTTCCCTTGCTCTGAAAAATCAGCAAAATATTGATTCAAATAAATTTAACCCCAAACCAAAAGGGTCCCCACCTCATTCCCCCAAGTGTTTAAAGTTGATGCCCTCCTTTGGGCACTTGTAGACTTTTCCAGTTGCATTTCCACCTTTCCTCCCAGATTCCTTTGTGCAACTCTACCAGACCTCCACCCTGACATTTCCTGGGCTGGCCCTTATGAGAAAGCTCCACTGGGTGGGGTGGATTTTTTTATTTATTTTTTTATTTTATTTTTTTGTAATCCTTTCTAGGTTGTTTTTCATTTCAGACGTTGAGTCACATTAGCCAAAGCTACTGCAAAGGCCTGCACCGCTGAAAATGGATATTGAAAGTCCAAGATATAGGCATTGCCATCAATCCGTCCAAACTGCATGACCTGAAAGATTGGGGGAGGAGAGGAGGAGAAGAAGAATAAAATTAGCAGCTGAAGAGAAAGAGTAAATAATAAGTCAGATGAATAGAAAGTGGGCCATTAAAGGAAGGAGAAGCTCACAATCCTTTGCCTTCTACCAAGAATTATATTTAAGTTTATTCGATTGTTGTGCTGCCTTACCTTGTTTATAAGTAACTTGAGACAGCAAACATACCTAATGCTTCTTCCTTATCCTATTTCCCCTTCCCTCCAACAACACTGAGGAGGATCAGGCTAAGAGAAAAAAATGATTGGCCCAAATAATCCAGCTGGCTTGGAATGAATTTCTGCTAGCATTGCTAAGGCTTTCAAAAAGATATGCCTTTGGCAGCCGTATGAGCACTAGGTTTTTCGATGGATTCCAAGAACTATTCTGGACTGAACCATGGCTTACTGATTATGTCAAAACTGAACTTGCACACACTGCTAAATCATAAAATACTGTTCACCAATCTCCAGATTGTGGATTTGAGTTCCCAGAACTCCCCGGCCAAATGTGAACTTGTGCTAAGAATTCTGGGAGTTGAATTCTACATATCTGGAAGTGGAACTATGGCAGGATTCCCATACCACATTAACCCAAAGTCAACCAAACCGTATTAGTCATTTTATTTATAGTCATTTGTTTTTCATTTTAAATTTTGAAGCACTTTACAATAAAGTGTTCTATTTCAGTCAAGTGTGGAGCTCATTTTAAAAACCAAAAGAGTATAATTTCTCTCTTTTTAGGAAAAAAAGAACACTGGCTTAATTTTGAAAACCACTTTATGTTCTATTACTTGTATGTAATACAGAAGCTCTTATTAAGTGAGGAAAAACAACAGTCAAAATTTCATATCATATACTTTCTTCTTAACACTTCTGTTCACACTGTTGTTGTTTTTTTAGCAGAAATGTTTATATGCCAGACTGGTGTCAAGTCTTCATTATGTAAATTATGAAATTTGCATCAGTCCCATCTTGTCTCCTGTTGAGTTATAGGAAAACTATAAACAATTGGCTTTTTAAAAGAGACTCCTGGAAAGAGATAGTGTAAACTGGGAGTCACCATTATGGTTGCTTAATATTGCTCAATAATCATAGTTTCCTTTGTAATTGACTTGCTCCTATGAGAATCTGTTTGTGTTTGTGAGGATGTTTTGTTATTTTAATCTACTTACTGGGAAAAAAAGGTTGCTCTTTGGAGGGGAGAAACAATAAAGACTCAGTATTATCAATAAATCTGATATGAATGAAGCAAATCATTTGTGCTTATGATATCATAATGCAAGAGATGCTAGTGTGGTATTACTCACAGTCCATAAGAATTTCTAGTAATTTGGCTTGATGATTTTTATTACTGAAAATATCCAGGAAAAAAATAAATAGTTGTCTTACCTTCCATTCTTCTCCTGGAACAAAACATATTTATTTTTACATAGTTTCAAGCCTTTCATGCTACCCAAAAGTGGCAGGTACCTCAAAAAGAACTGTAAAGGTGGGGAATTTCTGGTCTCCAATTATTGCTCCAATTATTATTGCATCTTAGTAGCCCTAATTAGCAAGGCTAATCATGTGGAATATCAAAAGTTGAAGTGCAGTTACCTCTTAAAAGGCTAGAGAGGTTCCTTAGCCATGATCCACGCTTATTCCCATCAGTACTTAAACTCCTGTCTAACTTCTAGTACAAATCTCACCACAGTATCAGCATTACATCTACCGTGTATGTGTGCGTGCGTGTGTGTGTGTGTGTGTGTGTGTGTGTGTCAGTAGTGGGAACTACCTTAGTCGCTACCGGTTCGGTGGTGATTGTGTGTACGCGCGCATACGTACCTCTAACAACCCAATCAACTGAGAGGATGAAGAAATGAAAATCTAGGAGCAACCCTCCCACTCTCCCATGCGCTTTTCTGTCTTTTTAGTCTTTCAGCTGATTGTCGGAGGCTTGTTTTCCTCCTGTCAGCTGATCAGAGGTCCTTTTTTTACTACCGGTTCGGCTGAACCGGTCTGAACCAGTGTGTGTGTGTGTGTGTGTGTGTGTGTGTGTGTGTGTGTGTGTCTGACATACATGTGAAACAAAAAAGGTTTTCCATTTTCTCTTGGTTAGCTTACCTGTCTTCCTTCCAGCTCAATCTGGAAGTTCTTTGCAGATTCTTGAGTCACCCTCCCTCCAAAGTCCAGCTGATAGACCTGGGTTGCCTCATTCCACAAAGGCTGTTTATTTGCCATCACATACACAAAGCCCTGGTTTCCCAGCCGCCCATCTTCCTTCTCGTTTGCTTTCCGACATTTAAATTCATCCAGTTCGCTGGCTGTCCTCAAGTTCCTTTTAGTTTTCCACCCCTTTTTACTCCCTTGGCTCTGATTCATCAGTTCATCCCCGCTAATAAACAATTCAGGCTCACTTTCTGAGCTGTCCTGAAATTCATTCATCTTGTTCAGTTTTTTTGACTTCAGCTGATCTTTCTGGCTCTTGAGTTTTTTCTTTTCCCTGCCCAATCTTGGGCTGGCTATCAGGGAATTGAAGTCAGTCAATGTGGTCCTGGCCTCCTTCTTGACTTTCCCCTCTGTGATAGCCTGCATATTTCCTTCATCCGCCCGGCTATCCAGCCGCTTGCGATTCTTCTTCCCAAACTTATCTGTCCTCTGAGAAATGGGACTTTCAGTCAAGGAGAGCACTTCTTGGAAGTTATCTGCTGTCTCGGCCATCACATCAGAGCCCACATGACCCGGAGATTCTACAGGCGGTGGAGACATAACAGATTTGTCCACCACCAGAAGCGCCTTGGGTGGCAGAACATTCTGGGTACTCTGGACAGAAGGTGGGCATGTGCTATAGGAATTCCATGGATGCAAGGCCATTGGTGGCAGCTGTAAACTTGAACAAGTACTATTTCCAGGATACATGGGAGGCAAAGGGCAGTACGAGAGGTTTGAGGGATAGGCTGGCTGAAGAAGAACAGATGGCTCCTGTTGTACAATTTGGGATGGGGCCAGCGCGTCTTTGGGAGAGCAGGGCACCTGCATTCCTTGAAGAGGAGGAGGTGGAGGAGGAGGAATACTATAATTTCCCAAATACGGTGCTCCAACACCATAACTCATCTGGAAAGTGGCAGTGGGACTGGTTGGAGATTTGGGGGAAACAAAGGTTGCTCGGGATATATCCAAATGTTGAGCTTGGCCAATGACTAGAGGGTTGGATTTACCAGGGTTGGGCAAAGTACTATGAGCTGTCCTTTCTTGAGGCACCCATATCTCCTCGCTCACAATAGGTTCCCACTGATAGGGAGGTGGCCTTTTTACAGCAATGTTAGGTTCTGCCATGGCTACAGGGATGTGGCGTGCTGATTTCTCCACAGGGCAGTGTTGAGAAAGAGCCTCGTCCTCCATGAAGGCAGAGTTTACGTAATCGGTCCGCTCCCGAGAATTGTCAAGTGGGTTCAGTAAATTGTAAGAGGATTGGGAGGCCAAAGGCGATGTACTGGCTGAGTGTGCAATGACTGAATTGTGCTGAGAGCTGCTCCCCGTGGTTACATCAGGCCTCATAGTGCTGAGGCCTGATGTGCCGTTGCTTGCGTTGATATTACTGATGTTCCCATTTCCGTTGTTTGTGTTGCTGGCGCCATTGTTCGTGTTGCTGCTGCACTGGCTGCACGTGTACAGGGCAGTTGGCACTCGCTGCTGGTACTGGGCTCCCACAACATTGCTCTTCAGTTTCAATGGGAACTGCAAAGTGGCCCTCTGGCTGTCCACCAACTGAGCCATTTTCAGGGCTGCCTCCCTGCTATTTCTCCGCAGTGTAGCATGGATGATGCTATTGTCCAACCTCTGCGTGATGCCCCGGCCTTGAGCTAGCTGGGCTGCAATCTCTGGATAAGGGGGTGGATCCCCTGTTGGAATGGAGTAACGCGGAACTGTGAGCCTGTTCAAGGTGGCGCTAGTGCATGGCTGCTGAATCTTCTTCTCTGATGAAGTAATCCGTAAAGTGGCCGAACTGCCTGGCCCAGGCAGAGTGTACGTGTTCTGAGCACACACCATCCGGGTTCGAGGGCGGCACACCTCCTCGACATTCCCACTGCTGTCGAAGGTGGTGATTCTCTCATAGCCAAGAGGGGTTTGGTAATGGGCTGCTGAATACAGAGAGAAATCACCTTTTTTCAAACAGAGATCTACTGGAGGTTGTGGAGGTACTGGAGGAGGGGGTGGTGGTGGTGGAGCCGTGGTAGGAGCCGCAGGTATGGTTCCGGGGTATGGAGGCGGAGGGTTTATTTTGTTCAGTTGAATTTCTTGGGCAGTGCTGAAGACAGCTGTGTCTCCTTCCGCCACCTGGGGAATGGGACGCAGAGCTTTAGCTTTTTGGAGGTGTTCGTGGTCTCTGTCCCCATCTCTGTGGTCCACAATTGCCATCTGGATGGCATTCTGGGGTGGCAAGGGTAACTGAGGAGGGACCTGGAGGATACGTCCCATTTCTACTCCTCCAAAGATCACTTGGCCCGGGCTAGAGTATCTGCTTGGGATCGGATAATGGACTGCATTATCAGCCACGTGGTCTGCTGCCGCCACAGCGGTTGTCTGATTTGCGAGGACATCCAGTTGCACATTCTGATTAGCAAGCAAAGACTGCACCAACCCTATGCTCTGAGTTGGTGACATTGCTTGTGCTGAACTGTGAATAGGAGCAATTGGGATGTTTACAGTGCAAGGTGGATTGTTCTCAGGAACTCCTGATGCTCCAGTCACTGTCATATAAACACATAGCATTACATTATGATATTGAAGTTCTTTTTAATTCTCAATAGATACATTAGACCTATAGTATCAGATTTATAGTATAGTTTACAGGATATCCTATTCTTGTCATCTCTAGAATTCTTGTTGCTAATCTACCACTTAGCAAATACTTTGACTTACTCCACCTTTGAATTTACACCGCTACTCAAATGAATGCATCTGTGTGATATCTTTTTACGAGCAGCAAATCAAATAACCATCAAATATGCTTTGCATTCTTCCTGCAAAGCATTTTTACCCCCAGTTACAACCAATATCCTGGTCTAAAAGGAATCTTGGTTGCCTTGTTGCTAATTAACTGGTTAAAAAAGGATAATGTGAATTTGCCCCACAGAGAAGAATTGAATATAAATCCTTATCAACGATTACCTACTGTTCTTTTATAGAGTAAATAAAGGATGAAGAATTTGACTAGAAATGAGTAATTCCCAGGCTCCAGTGAACCATTATGTTAATAAAACAATATACCTTCTTCCCAAAGTGATCAAGAGAATGGCTAACTATTTAACAACTCATAAACATAGGAACAAGCTTCCTAGTATTCAAACCTTGGAGTGCTGACATCCATAAAGGCTTTGATTTCTATGTGCTGCTGTGGAGAAATCTATGTGTTTAAGGCTTCCATTTGTCTAATAAAGAAACTAAATTATATTTGTGAGCCATCTGCCAAATAAGCCAGCTTCTGAATAAATGCTTACGTGACTAAAGAGCCAAGATTTACAGATCAGGCTGGTATGAAACCAGACAGTCTATTTAGGTAAAATTAGGCTCTTTGATGTAAATTTAATAAAGTGAGCAGTCATATAATAAATTTTAATTTATATTATTAGAGCCAAGCAATTATAAAAACCTATATATAATCTGAAGATTGTAAATGCACCTATTCACCACTTTAATCTCAATAATCTTTAAAGAATAGAGTTGTACTAGAAATGAATAAATGCTACCATTAAAGACATGTGAATATTATTTGAAGAAAAAAACACTGTTTTTTCCCTTCCTAGTTTCAGTTGTATGTTGATGAGGTCTTCAATAACCTGAAATGATGGAGTATTCAATTTACACAGCATATAAATATTTCTTTCTATGAAAGCAAGATCTCATCCTATTTGGGCATGAAAAAAATAAGACACACAAAAATCTAAAAGTTCCTGGCAATATTGTTGTTGCTTAATTGCTGGATAATTTGGCAGAAATTGTGTTTAATCAAGGCATATTGATTTGATCATTAAGAAATGTTATTATTATCTTTTCCAGGTCTGAGTAATTGTGATTGCAAATCATTTTATCATATTAAAATCTAGCCTCAGAAAATTCGCAAATTCGTAAATGATTAAATTCCCAGTTCCTAAAATGGCTGTTAAGTTCCCAAAAATCCTAATTAGCAATGGTTAGATCTCATTGGAATCCAGTTCATGCATAAATAATAACCAAATCAATTAATTAACAGCATTACTCACATAATATATAGATTGGTTATTATTTATGCTTCCTTGTTTACATGTATAGACTGCCAAACTTTCTTTGTCCTCTTGGGTTAGTTCTTAATGTTGTTATTCAGAACATTATAAGAACCAGAAACTCCACTAGACTTATCTAGCATATCTCCAGCTTTATATTCCTCATAGGATCTTGGCAAGACAAACTAGAAAGAACTGACAAAGTCTTGGACGTTGCCAAGAATTCAAGTTCTGTCAAATTCCATAATTGATAGATGCCTTGTACATCATCATCCAGCTCTTGAGGCTCTCCCATCTCCCAGCCTTCATCAGATCTCTCAGCCCAATAAGCAACATAAAGCAGGAGGTTGATAGTGGGAGGAAGTATCTGCACTGGTCAGGATTCGGTAAAGGCTTCTTAGGATCCGTTAAGTTCCTGATGGAAGCACTAAAACAGATAATCAATTTTGGAGTCCATGGCCTTGTTACAAACTCCACAGCAAGGAGTATGCTCACAATGTCTCTTTATGATTGTCCTTATCCATGCTTTAAATCATGTTAACAGAATTGTGTATCCCGAGCTCTTCCAGCAGAACCACAGTTTGTAAAGGAAGTAAATATTCAAGTCAAATCTCACCTGGCAAATCATCTTCATCTTCACTAAAAACATTGGGATTGAAAACAGGTAGGTTGATATAATCAGTGGAAATCTTCCGCACTTCTGGGAGATAAATGGTCATTTGCCTTGGCTGAAGATGCAACAAGCTGGTTTTATAGATAACTGCAGAAAGGATGACAAAAGAGGGAGGAAATAGAAACCAAAAATGCAAAGATGATTGAAAAATTCAGGCCATACAGAGACTTAATGAATTAACAATCACCACACTTCCGATTTGGAGGATGTGGACCTGTGAATAATTCAACGGGAACTAAAAGTGTCACCCAGAAGCCTCTAGAGATTTTGAAGAATCCTTTCAGATCATTTTCAAGACTAATCGTCTCCCCAAATAACTCGAGTGAAAATCTGTTCATAGCAGGGATGGTACGCTACCAGTAAAGCCTCCAACGGATCAGCTGAGAGGAGTGGGAAAAAGTCTCCAACAATGAGCTAAGAGGAGAAAGAAGAGAAAAGCACAGGATCAGGCCTCCCACCCACCCCTGCGCTTGCCTCTTCTTTATCCTCTCAGCCGATTGGTGCTGCAGGCCTCAGCTGGTGTGTGGAAAGCTGTGGGCATGCGTTAGGTACGCGCATGCGCAATCAGTAGTGGAATAGGTAGTATCCCACTGCTGATTCATATTAACTTCATCACTTAACGTCTGATTATGGGAATTATCTCTTCCTGCCGAAATACAGCAACTGGCATCAAACCACAGACAAGACAGAACAGGACAAATCCCTGAGTAAATCTGGACAACATCATTATCAATTTTTAATGCAACCAGACATTTCTATTCTAAAATGTTTTTGTTGTCTGTTCCATTAGACTTTTACTATTTCTAAAAAAAAAAATGTGTGCGTCTTTTTCTCAAAAAAACCAAGCAACTCTGTATCCACATCTGGTTAGGAAGAAACTGAAATGAAGGAAAAGTTCAAGACTAAATTTTACCTGCACCGAGATTGGTTGGTAGGAACGCAGCCAAGCCTACAATTTTAAATTTGGTGCCCCAGATATTTGATGTGACCTGAGCAAGGTAATTGTGCTGCAATGAAAAGATGTAAGAAAAACAAGCTTACAAAGGATAATTTTAGAGTCTTTATAGACATTATTTTAATCAGGATCCAATCTGAGTCAGTCACTGGGATGAGAGATTTATTCTTCCAAGCTTTTGGACTTGTACTGGAGCCTACCTTCAGGGAATTTCCCTCTCTCCAAAATGGGTGCACTGGGCTGATCAATGCGTGGTATTTATGTGGTGCTTGGTTGTGTGTGTGGCCTTTCAGTTGTTAACTGTTTTAATTATTTCAATCAGCCCTATAAGACTGATTGGCATTATTATTTCCAGAATGTAAATGGGGCCAATGAGGAACAGTGGCTTGTCTCAAGCCACCTTATGAAACTGAAGGTGAAGTTGTGTTAAATCAGGCATCAGATTAGAAACCATTATCTAAATGGACATTTCACCTGCTGGGACCTAGTTCAAAACAAGGAAGGTTTTTGTGGGCATTCTTCACTGAAGATTATTGACTAATTTATTGTATTGGGCTAGTCTGAGCCGATTGATAGATGTAATTTTGACTTCCAAATCTAGGCCAGAGAAAGTGTGATTGACCCAAAGTCATCCAACCAGCATCCATGTTTAAGAAAGAATACAACTCCAGTCTCCCCACTTCTAGTCCTTCTTAAGCATTCTTGAGGGACATTTTAATTTATCGGCCACCCAACTCCAGTAGACTCTAGGCCCGTGATGGCAAACCTATGGCATGCGTGCCACGGGTGTAACGCAGAGCCATTTGTGCGGGCACGCGAGCCCCAGCCAAACTTACCTGCACTGCACATGCATGTGCCTCCCAGCTGATTTTCGGCCTGTTTGAGGCTGTTTTTTTGCCCTCCCAGAGGCTCAAGAAAAGCCTCTGCAGCCCTGGGAGGTCGAAAAACGGGCCTTCCGGAAATACCGGAAGTGCCGAAATGGGCCCATTTTCAGCCTCCCGAGGCTGCAGAGGCTTCCCTCAAGCCTCTGGGAGGGCGAAAACAGGCTCAAACGAGCCGAAACTTAGCTGGGAGGCACGCGCATGTGCAGTGCAGGTAAGGTAGCGGTGCAGGGGTGTTGTGCATGCATGCACAGGGGGTGGCCGCATTGCATTGTGGGTGCCAGCACGAGCAGACGCACTTTCGGCACACCACCACAAAAAGGTACGCCGTCACTGCTCTAGGCTGATATAATGCTGCTAAGTAGACAAATGGATAGCCATGAGATACCTGAGTGATGTCTTCTAAAGGAAATTCTCTACGAGTTAAGCTAGGTGATCCTATGGAGGGCTTCCTTATTGGCAATCTAGGAGATCTTGATATCTCCTGAGCAGCTCGTGATAACTTCGGAGATTTGCGAGCTTCTATATTAATTCTGCAAATAAAATTTCAAAGTTACTTATGCACAAATAGATACGCTTTGCCTCTTTACAACACAATAGTCTGTTGATCTATGGCCTGCTAATATGATTAGCAAGGTATAGGTGGTTCTCAACTACAGCAGTTCACTTAGCGACCATTCTAAGTTATAACGCCACTGAAAAATGTGACTTATGACCATTTCTCACACTTGTGATCATTGTGGCAGCCCCATGATCACGTGATTTACATTCAGATGCTTAACAGCTGATTCACACTTATGACGGCTGCAGTGTGCTGGGGTCATGTGATCCCCTTTTGCGACCTTTTGACAAGTAAAGTCAATGGGGAAACCAGATTCACTTAACAACCATGTTACTAATTTAACAACTGCAGTAATTCGCTTAACAAATGTGGTGAGAAAAGTCATAAAATCGAGTAAAACTCACTTATCAAATTTCTCGCTTAGCAACAGAAATTTTGGGCTCAATTGTAGTTGTAAGTTGAGAACTCTGGAAGCAAAGAAAGAACAAAATTCCTCCTTTTTTCCTTTCCTTTCTCCCAGCAAAAGGATACATGCCTAGATTCACATTTTCTACCATCACGAGGGATTTTATTTTTCTGGTAAGCAAAGTTGTACATGTGTTTCTGTACAAATATAGATGTGTTCATGATGGAGGAAGAATTGGAGGGAGGTTACTTATACACATCCTAAGGTAGGGGTATCAAACTCAAGGCCCCACAGGGCCGCCCTAGAAATAGCAAAGGACTGGCCTCTGCCAGGGAAAATGGAGCTCGGGAGGGCGACGCTCTGTTTTTGCTGGCAGAGTGTTCAGGCTACCACAGGCAACCCCGACATGAGTGACATTGAGCTGGCCACACCCACCTCAGCCACATCCACCCTGGCCCCCTGAGGTCAAACACAACTGGGGTGGGATTCGCACCTATTCGCTAGAACCGGTTGTTAACATTCTAAGCAGTTTGGAGAACCCGTTGTTAGAAGAAACTACTGGCCTAATCCTGTAAGGAAGGCAGGAAGGAAACATTCTGGTGTTGCTTTCAGAAATTGTCTCTCCGTTAACCCTTATTACATTCTTGGCAGGACTAGACTTCCTGTCTCAGGAACCTCTCTGGAATTTTTCCCCCCTCCTTTACCGGTACTTTGCTTGTGTGGAGTGACCATTTAAAGTTACAATGGCACTGAAAAAAGGGACTTATGACCATTTTTCACTTACACTGTTGCTGCATCCCCATAGTCATAAGAGGCCAGGCGAGGAGATGCATGCCTCAATGTGAGTGATATTGAGTTGGCCACGACCAGCCAGTCACATGACCACCAAGCCACACCCACCAACATAGCCACGCCCACAGAACCGATTGTTAAAAAATTTGAATCCCACCCCTGAACACAACCCTGATGCGGCCCTCAATGAAATCGAGTTTGACACCCCTGTCCTAAGGGATTAGCCAATCTGCGCTATGTGCTACTGACTTTAGCAGGAGTTTTTCATACAAAGAAAGTAATTAACAGCATTTTTTTTTAAATTTCCGGGATAATGTTCAGGTTCAAATCCAGAACAGTTTTATGCCTACCTATCGAATATGAGCATCAGGTTTAATATTCTGTGAAAATTATTCTCAGGTCTACAAGGGTTAGGAGAGGTTTAGGGCAATGTTCTGCAACAGGAACCTTATGGCTTGAAATACTGAATTTTCAAGAAGGATAATGCCCTAATTTGCCCTTTTCAAAATAACTGATCTGGAACCACTCAGTTCAGCCCAATACTGATCAACAAAACTATAAAGGTCAGTAAACAGAGAGGAGAAATTTCCTCACAGAAGAAAATTATTCAAGGAGCAGAACAGAATCAACTGCAAAATAGAAACTCTCTTGGCAATACTGATGAACTGGGCAATCGATTTGCCAAATTAAGAGCAAAGAAAGAAAAAGAAAAGTGCCTGGAAAAGAACAAAAAACTTGGCAAGTACCTTGTCACATTTTACGTTTCATCAAACATCTGAAACTGTTCAATATCAGAGAGGAAAAAACATTTGGTATTCACTTTATACAAGGCTTGGCACTGATTTGATGAATGTTTGATAACAAACCTGGGAATCATGGCTACTTTACTCTGGTACTTAACCACAGAAAAGAATTCTAAGGTACTTATCAAGCTTTATATAGAAAAAAAAAAACCAGCATTTCTTAGATGGCCAGTTTCTTATGTGCTAAGAGTATTAGGACAGTATTCTAATTTTATGGGACAATATCTTTTCATATTCATATACATAATAATACATATACAGATGGATATGTATTTATGTATATGAATATGATTAATAAATTCATATTCATATACATAAGATGGGAGAAAGAATACCTGGGAAGTTTGGGTGATTTACTAGCACGAGTGATTTTGGGAGATTTTTTCCCAGCCCAGTCATCACTCAGTTCAATATCGCTGGAATCAGAACAGTTGCAGCTATCAATCATGGTAGAAATCAAGCTGTTTCCATAGATTTCATCTATTTTATAAAAGGGAAAAAAGGAAGACAGAAGTATTCACAAATCAGATCCCAATTATAACTCAGCCATCTCTAGCTTATTCTATAAGTAGTAGCTGCTATATAACTGCAATATGGAATACTCTGAAATCAAACTAATAATGTTCAGTTATCTGAACTGACAAGCATTTCTACAAAATTGAAACAAAAAAAATGCTCTGATCAGTTTAAATATCCCCTTGCTCCTCCTGTCAGGTCATAGAATATTATAAGAGACGACAATTTAAAAGACAAATTGAATAGCTGATAAGAGAAATAAATAGCATGACTGTTCTTAAGTAGGTGAACTAGTTTTATGGATTAGCAGAGGAAAAAATTTCTATGTCATTCTAAGGATTTGTTCCACGAACAAGATATGAAGTTTAAGGCTGATACTAGACAACAGCAGATCGATAGTAGAACTTCCGTGCATCTTAAAATAAACTATTTCTAATACAATATATCATATTTGCATAAGAAATCCATCCCCAACATAGAACTCTCACAGAACTGGAATCTAAGAACAGCCAACTCAAAACTCTGTACCTGCTTTTCCATCTGTTTTAGGATCCATGATGACAAACTCAGGCCTGAGTTTACTAATTCGACGACCTTTCAAGATAGGCACCAGACCACCCAAATATTCTAAATACAACGTATAGCAAGGACCTCCAACTTCTGGATCATCTTCTGTCCGCTTCATTGTACAGTGAAGCCTTTCATTGCCAGATGTTGGGTAACTAACAAAATCTCGCATGTTATTAGGGTCTGGGATAGGAGGCTGGGTTAAATGTAGAACAAATGAAAAAAAAGTCATACCATTCATTCTCTCACCACCTTTCTATCATTCAAGAAGACCTGCTCAACGTTACTCTGAATTTTGCGCACATTTCAAACTAATATGATTAAGCCTTTGACCTCATTCAGTTGTAATGAAAGCTTTGTTGGATGCAAAAGTGTAATATGCAGCAAGTGATGTTAGATAAGTGGAGCTTTTTAAAGCAATTCCTGTAAAAGCCAAGCACAAGGGTTTTATGATTCAGCTAAGAGATGAGCTACATTATGGTTATGCAGGTTACTAAACATTGCTTTGATTTCTTCTTATGAGACTTTGAATCTAGGCCAATGAAATAAAAGCAGGGAAGAGAAGTGGCAATTTTAACAGGAGGTCTTAGCCAGAGATATTATAATAGCTCCATAACAGGGAAGCCAACTTTCTGGTCTGGATTTTGTGTGTGTGTGTGGGGGGGGGGGGGGTATTTAAGGGGTAGAACTGATGTCTTCATTCAAGCCATAAAATAATTTTGCCATTTGAACAGCAAGGGGAAAAAAAAAGTCTGATCTAAGTTATGTATTTTTAAAATCTCCCCCAACATGCAAATAAAATTTTAAAAATTAGATTCCTCTTTACCCCAGGAATGCTCTGAGGGTCAAAATATGGGTGCTTGTGAAATTTATACAGGGGTCACCCACCACCGTTGTCAAAAATTGCTGCCTTAATCTATAATGTGATTCTGTACTTCATTTTTTAATGTCAGCCCCTTCTATAGTTTAAGCTAGACCTATCTTCCATTCTATACTATACTTACATGCCGTACTATACTATGCACACCCTAGGACTGATGATGTTACCTAGACTGGTAATGAAACATCTGCAAACAACCAAGCTCAGAGAGCACCAAGGACCCACATACTAATTTTGACAGGTTTATCACTCCACCATTTGTTTACCTTGATTGTTGGTGTAAAGGCAGTGGTTAGGTATGAACAAAGCCGAGGAGGCAGGGTTAATTTACTGATATCTTTGTCGTCCCGCAAAGAGCTGGCAATTGTTTGTTGGCACAGGAGCTGTAAGCTGGACACTCGGTGCTCTACTCGGACAACATACAGGGCAGGGCCAGAAGCCATGAGCAGACGTGAGTCCCTATGACCCCAGCAAATTGAAATAATGGGGCGCTGTGTGGGGGAAAAAATTTTTTTAGACTTTTCTATATCAATGAATCATATTTTAAAGATTTTTCAGTAGCATGTATTTTATTGTCCACGTGCCTTTCCACATGACTCAAGCCTGATATGCATGTTCAAGTGTTTATATCTTTCCAAGACTCTATTACACTAGGACTCTATTACTATCTTCAATTATTAGGGTAGAATATCAGTCCACAGCGGGGTCTCCACCCTTGGCAACTTTAAAACCTGTGGACTTCAACTCCCAGAATTCCTCAGCTGGCTTCTTATCAAGCCTTCTTATCATTTCAATCTTTTCTCCATTTTATTAACAATAATTAACTGTTGTGGTCCGCTGGCAGCCTGTGGAGCTGGCAGCAGAGTTGGACAGTGGGAGGAACATGGGCCAGTCCGGGAGTCTGGGGAAGGCTTGGACAAGGGATCTGCGTCTGACACAGAGATGGGCCAGGGCCACCTGAGAGTTATGTGCAGACTCCTGAGTCTCCAGACTCTGACATCAGCGAGGCAGAGGAACAGGGGGAGCCTGTTCCCAGGGTGCGCTTGAGCAGAGCTGCTAGAAGGCAAGAACAGTTAAGACAAAAGGGGCGACTCGGGACTAAGACTTGGAGATGATTGGTCCTTCCCATAAGACATAAAGGAGGAGCAAAGGGACATGAACTTTTGCAGGAAGCAACTTTGTTCGTTCTGGTTGGTTTAAAATCTGAAGCTCCGTGTTCACTTTGTGCTCCGTTTGGCCTTGTACAGCTAATTGGCAATTTAGTCATTGGCAGAATTTCAAGGGATATAAAGGTGGGTGCTTGTCAAGCTTATCCCGAAAGACTGTGGCAGACTTCTGCTGAACTATTCATAAACTGTTTGGGACTTGTTGCGGGCTGTGAATGCATATAATTCACAGCAGTTGAAATAAAACAAAAGGTTTTTGGGAACAACGTATGATTGTTACTGTCTCAGGAAGCCTTGGTCAGAACAGTTAACAATAGTTATTAGCAATAGTTAAATAAGTCACAATGATTCTGTGTAATTCGTAATTCAGTCATTCGTATCTGCACTATCATGCTAGCAATTTTTCTATGTTAGAATATATTTTGGGTTGTTTTTTTACCTTCTTCTTCAAGTCATGTTCTTCGGCATAACTCTTACCTGCACAGGGGTCTCCAACGTGTAGATGTGTTCCCCATGAATATTGTAGAATTTGACGAGTGCGCTTTTCAGAAAAGAAGCAGCGTTAAGTTCAGCCAGTTGGCTTAGTTTTTCCATGCCTGCTACGGCCAGCAAGTCTCCTTGTGTGCACCACTGAGCCACTACATCTAAAGCCACAAAACAGCAGAAACTTAGCAAATAGATCCTTCTCAGAGGTGCCTACATTTATCCTAGACTCATCTGCCCCACAGGAATGTTTAAGAGGGCTGCCACTAATTAAGAAATAAGCAAAACAGCATATGAATGAACATTATGAAATTAACAGTAACAGTCCATCCTCCCTAATTATTCTTCCTGTCTTATCCTACATGTTGAGATAAGCCTTTCAACCACAATTTTTGGGACAATTTTTGAAGTATTTCACTTGACAGAAAGTCAGGATTCAGGCATCATGCGATTCGTAAGCCATGATTGCTAAACCACAGTAGTTGGGTTTCATGAATCAGGCCAGGCCACCTCCACATTGTGACCTTATGTTCTCATGAAGTAAAAGGATCATGGAAAAGATATAAATTCGACTTCATCTTAAGGTTCCCTTCGCACATACGTGCTAGTCGTTTCCGGCTCTAGGGGGCGGTGCTCATCTTCAAAGACATCTCCATGATCATGTGGCCGGCATGACTAAACGCAGAAGGTGCACGGAACGCTCTTACCTTCCCAGCAAAGTGGTCCCTATTTTTCTACTTGCATTTTTACATGCTTTCGAACTGCTAGGTTGGCAGAAGCTGGGACAAGTAACGGGAGCTCACTCCGTTATGCAGCGCTAGGGATTTCTGATCGACAAACTCAGCGTCTTAGCCATTGAGCCACCACATCTCATTGACTTCATCTTAGTTACAGTTAATTAAAACAGTTAATGTTGAGTATTCTCCAATCACATATTTTTTCCTTCTAACACTTTAAAATTACCATAGTTAACAACTTTAGATAGTGTGAGGGAAACAGAATCAAAGTTTTTGAGAGGCTGAATAACTGATCTGAATCCAGGATATTGAGCCAATAGTGTGGGGGTGCAAACAGCACCAAAACTAGCAACCATTTTATTTGAAAAAGAATCCCTTTGTTAAGTTTTCCTTTTGACAGGTAGGTGTCACTACCGCTAGGAGAAAATATGCAGACAGTTACTGAGCTTCATGGGACAGATGCTGTCCAAGCAATCAAAAGTAAAGCAAACAAGAAATTTCCCTTTTGTACCTTTTAACCCTGAGCGGATGGTGGTGGGAGATAAGTCATCATAGTTGTTCATTAAGCTAATATCTCCTGATGTGAAGCTGACAGTGAGAAGCTGTTTGGTGTTCTGAACCAGGACTGGATATACTGCTGGACCATCTGCAAGGTAAAATTAGAAGAAGAAAAAATAGATGTTTCCAGTTCCACATTAAAGTCCTGATAGAACGTTAAGTGCAGAATTTCCAGAAATAAGCCCATCCTCCTTCCAGGATGGTCTATAATGTTAATGTCACAGTCTTAATACTGATCCCTCAATAACCCATTGAAATCCAAGTTTTCTCTTCCTCAACTCAGTGCCTTCCTGATAGACTACAATCTCCATTAACCTCGCCCCATGCTGCATCAGGATATTGCCTTTATCACTAGGTTGGAGAAGACTGCCCCACTCCTCAGTTAGAGGCCTTGCTGCAAGCACTCCAAAGGGACCCCTACTTTCTTTTGGTCTACCTATTAGTTGAGAAAATTCCCACATTTTGTAAAAACTAAACATAACTTATTATTTGTTTATTGGCTTGTTTGATTACTTGATGTAAGGCCTGCCACCCCTTAAAAGCACATTTTACAGCATGATCAGAGTCCCCTACGTTCTGTAAATGGATCACATTGATCCAGGAAGTTATGAAGACTTCTACCCATGTGGTTGAACTGCATAAATCTGCTTGTAAACATTTGACACCAGAAAACTTTCCAAAACACAATATTTTGCTTGGAAATTTCCAAGCAATATTTAGCTTGGAAACAAGCCAATAAGTGCCATGAAATATCTGCCTCTATCCAGGCTGACATGTAGACAAAGGCACTGACTTGGGCCAATACAAAGGCATGGAGTGTCAACTATGCTAAGAGAGAAAAAAAGTCTGGCGGTTTTGAACTATTCCCACCAAAGGTTGCCAATAAGAAGCTCTTGGAGCAATACTATTTATGACTCCCATGTTTCATAATATTTTGATGAACATGTGAAAAAAAAAAAACCTGTTGCATTTCAATTGTGAGAGAAAGCAGCATATTCACGCCACATTCTTTTATTCAAAGTTTCTTTCAGTACTAAGTCATCCACATTCAGGAAATTTTTTAAAAAAATAGGGGAGGGGACCATTCATTTCTCAAGTACTTCAGATCTGAAACTTCTTAAAATTGAAATATTCATGTTTCATACTTAGGGAGCCGATATTTTATTTTAAACAGACAGAACTATTATAACTTAACTAAAATATTTTAAAACAGAACTTGATCATCCATGAGCAGGCAGAATAGGATGAATCCTGAGATCATAGAAGCTACTAAAAACAATGTCATGTTTCTATAAGGCTATTTCTTTGGGGTTCACATTTGTATTTTACATACTTTACACACACCAAAACATACACTGTATATTATTATATATTTGTAGCACCATCTTCAACACTTACAGTATAATTACATTAATTTTTGCTGCCACTGCATGGGAAAGATGTTCTTCAAACATCGCTCTAGATGTATTCTGCTAAGTTGTGGAGAACTGAAAACCAGTATCATATCTGATACTGTTTTAGGGATCCAATTCAAGCAACTTCCTCCTACTCTTCTAGTGAGTCAAAACCAGATCAATGGAACACACAATGCTTCATAAGAATATGTCATATTAGCACAATCAATAGAAGGAGGCTTGAACCAAGTTCACCCACTGCTGACTGACTCAGCATCATTTACACACTTGCCAGCTTTATTCTTCTACACAGCAAAGCACATGGCACTGTAAAGCAATCTCAGAATGATCCTCCTGTCCTAATTTATTATAAAAAATCAGATTCCCCCCACCCCCTTTGCTTTCTCTCTTTGGCCTTGGAGGGAAGTTGTTTTTTCTTACTTGATGGGACATGGGCAGAATAAGGCATCTTGACTGGAGAGGAGTCCTTTCAGTTTGACATTTCATGGAGGTGGAGTGGATCTGTCTTAACTGGCCACTTTGTCCTGCTAGCAAGAATTCTGAACTCATAACAGAAGCCTGTTATTTACAGAAGTGAAGCATTTGTTTCCCTCCCCTCAAGAGAAGTGAGACACTATTTTGCCAAGTCACTTTAGTAGACTTCTTCTAAAATGTGCATAGTTCTATGGGCCACCTCTTAAACTTGGTTTCAATCAACTCTTTCTTCAATTCAGATAAATACAATTGTGTTTGTTATAGTGGTGAGAGAGAGAGACAGGGATCCAGGCTAAAATAGAAGACCCTTAAAAATTCTGAGTACCGGAAGGCAATTACTTAAAATAACCTCTCATACTGTAGCTACTTAGCTTGAAAGGACATAATATAAAGGAATGTGTGCATCTGAGGCAATTCACTCAAGAAACTTTCATTTCAGAAAGGTCCTACAGATGTTGGAAGATCCTCTTTGGGACACCTCTAAAATAAATGCATCACGAAGAGCAAGAAACTGTTTTAACTGAGGAATATGCTATTTTTCTCAGGAGAAGGACCATTACAGGCTGAGTGTCACAATATAAGTACAGCTAAGACCAACCAAGTAGTTGGAGAAGAATCTAACAATTATTTCCATCTATCTAATGATATCATCCTACCATCACATTAAAAATAACTAAATTTTGCTATCCATTATTTTTTGCTAGGACTCTGAGACCACACCTATGCCTTCAGCGGGATGCACATACTCCTGCTTTAATTGTTCCATTGGTTGAAATTAAGTTGGAGTAGCCTAAGGAAGGCTGGCAGCTAGAGATTATCTCCTTCTACTTCCCTTTTGATAAACAAGGAAATCTGGTAATTAATAGCAGTCAAGTTACAGATTAGCTTTGGAAATAAGTAAAGTACTTGCCCCTTTGAAATTCGTGCTTATTGTCTTGTGTTTTGGTTCTGAGAATAGAAAATCATGGAAGAACTGATAATGTGAGTTAATCTAGCTGTTCAATGGCTTCAGACAAACAATTCCTTAGTTTTGTGCTTTTGACTGGAAAATGTGTCTAATTAAGCAAAGTATGCATGCAATGTGCAATGTGCAAATTCAATCCTCAGCAATGATGTGGAAGAAATGTAAAAAACTAGTTAATATACAAATTATGCTACTCTGTTCGCAAATGTCTTAAACATTCAATGGCCTTGTTCAAAAAATAATGCAAAAATAAGGTTTTTTTTACATCATTAGTTATTTAGGAATCGGATGTCAAAATATTGCTATAAGAAGATACCTTATGAACTAGAACTAAGAATTTCAAAACAAAAATACAAAGACAAGAATAATTCTCCAGGTGTTACTCCTCAATAACCAATATCCAAACGCATATGGCCTTTGATCCTAGGGGAATCAAAGTAGTATGATTCCAACTAGTAACTATTTATAGTCTGATCTTCCCCAAGTTTTGTGTTATTCATCTTTGAACTCATGTAAATTGGTGGCAATGACCAGAAAACTCCATAGTTTATCTATGCAATTTTCATAGAATATTTTTGATTCATAAAATATATTCAAAGAGCTCTACAGAATTTGGAAATCTTTTCACTTGTTATGAAGTTCTGTCGACTCCTGAAAATAAATCAGAGGTATATAGAGTACTTTTTAAATCAACTTTGCTGATCTCTGACTAGAAGATGACTATGGATTCTAACTGAAGCTACAGTGCCAAAAAGTATGGGTATGTACATGTGCAGAAGGCATGGGTGGGGAAAGAGATACCGCAAAAATTGAGAAGACGCTATAAATCTTCCTGAACCTGGGACTTTCCTGGTGGGTTTGAAACACAATTTCCAGCATACTGTAGTCCCAAAATATTTGGAGGGCACTAAGGTGGGGAAAATTGATTTATAAGGTATCATTATATAGCCAAAAATGTGTTGCAATATACAACTAGGAGGTAAATGAGTCACACAAAATATAATGGTAATTTAGTGTCTCTGGCAAACTTAAAATTAAATTATTCTTGCAGTACAAAATTCCTCCAAATGTATTTGGGGAATACTCCAGCAAGGATGTGAAAATAAATGTATAAATGTTGGAGCACACAATACATTGTTTTACCATCACAGTGAGAAGCAGGACAAAAACATACAAACACTGAACTGAAAGAAAAAAAATGACCTTGTGGTGGGGAATAATCATCTGAATCTGTGTCACTCTCGCTACTGTCTTCCACCAAGAAACTTGGGTAATTCCAAGACATACTAAGGATGCCATCAGACTCATGAAGAAGAACATGTGCCAGCATTCGGCCATGGCAATCCATAACAATAACTTGACCATCAGCAGTACCAAATAAGACCTAGGAAAAAATATATCATCATTAGTAAAAGTATAAAGAAAGAACCAAAATTTAAAAGGCTTACATCTTACATCTCAAATAATCTTACATCTCAAATAATCTTCAGATTGTAAAATGCTGAATAGCCCACATTCATAACGGATACAAACTAGATGCTGCAAGAATCATCTTTATTGGCCTCAGATAAACTCATCACTTGAAAAATGCATATTCCCACTAAAATCTATCCTTTCATAAACTTGCATTGCCAAGAGATAATTTTTCTTCCAAAAATATTTAATATTTCCCCTTCAGAAGTTTCTTTTTCCTTTTTGCTGTTTATTCTCTTCTTTAGAAGAGAATATTTGTAGATAAGGGTTGAACTGCAGATGTTTCATTACCAAACTAGGTAACATCATAAATGCTAGTACAAGGTCTCCACAATTCTCTCCTTTCCTATAGAAGGTTTCTTTCTCCCTATTTCTACAGTATTTAGCATCATGTTTTTCTTCCAAAATATTTGGCCATCTTATACCTTTTTCCCAGCATGCCACATTTTGAATTGGAAAAGCCTTCCTGCGTGAAATCTAAAATAACACAGTTAAATAAAGGCATACTCTGTGGTGCTTCGGTACTTCTGAAAATTTAGTCCATCCCTTTATGTTGTACATTGTTAAACACTTCAGGCAAATGGAGACCTGATAACAAAATACTAAGTAACTGGACATAAGATGTCTGATATAGCATCAATTAATAGATTATGGTTTTTAAGCACAAACAAAACTTGATCAATTAGCAACCAACTGTGCATCTCCCTGCAGGAAAATTTATGTGAAATAATCAACTGAAACTCCAGTGAAATAGGAAAACTATAAGCTAAACAATCTCAAACAAAGGAAAATTCTCAGCTACAATGTCAGTTTCTAAATGGATAAAACACAGTTTTTTTAAAAAAATTAATTTTTTAAGCAATTAATATACATTATGCCTTAAACAATACCTCCCCATCAAGCTTCTTTTGTTTTGTGAAAGCTATCGTTTGCACATTTTCACTGATTTTGAAATATACATATACTGCACAAGAGAGGTCACATGTGAAAAAAAAATACACAGCCTGACTTAAGTCACAACTTCATCCACTTTCACAGAAGTTTTCACAGGTTGTAATATAGACTTCATGTATACTGAATTTTGAAAACTTAAATATATTCCAGTGGCTGTTCAAGGAAACTAAAGACATAGGGATTCTGACTTCTATAACACACTGTTCAATACTTTTTGTAGAAGCAACATTCATTATTTATTGCTAAAAATGCTGAAGGATTCTTCAAAGATCCGTTATGTCATTAGCAATGGTTAATTAACAGCACCAAATAATTATTAGAGAGGCAACCTGGGGTAGTGTTAAGGCATCAGGCTAGACATTAGGAGACTATGAGTTCTAGTCCCACCTTGAAGTTATACTCTCTCTGCCCTACTGAAAAACACTTCCGAAAAACCTTGCCAAGAAAGCTGCACTAGTCTAGGCAGTTGCTACTGCCTAGACCCAAACGCACACACACACACAAAATTATCAATCAATTGTTGTTGCTATTATTAGTTTGACATGTGCTCTCTTATTGTTTTGATAGATTGTTTTATTGCAATGTTTTGAACAAGCAGTGTATTTCATATTTGGGAGATCCTAATGACATAATGTAATCTTGTGCATTTTTCTCCAGGAGTGATAATAATAGGGTTTGTTTCTAGGTAAACATGAGAAATGTTTCACTGTGTATCTATCCAACCTTGGAAAGGAAAAAACAAAGATATTAGCCTGAATCAATGCCGAGAGCTATAATTTTAGATCCACATCTATGCTCCCGTTTGAGTCATCCAACCCTACAGGGTCACTGACAATTCTATGTTATTCTGAATTCTCTGGGTACTGTATAATTAGCATGCTGGTAGTATTGTAACTGCCTTTCTTTGCGCCTGATAGGTAGGTAGAGGTGTATTCAAACAAGGCTTCTACTTTCTCAGTGACTTCTGCATTAAATAAGAGGTATTGACTCATGAGAGGTTTTTAATCATTATTTTTAACTGTACCGTACTAAGTGAGTAATTCTCCAAATGTGAGATAGGAAGTGCAGTACAGCTGCCAGAGATGGGAAAAGCCCATTCAGGACCACCAGGAGAAAGGCTTTTGCTCATAATCCAACTCTACTTCAGAAGTGGCTTTCTGTGAAAAACAATAAACTATTTTCTTTTGTGTTATTCTTTGGTTACAGATACAGGGTCAAAAAACTATAGAGGAATCTCTATTTTCTTCAGTTCACCCACCTGAGTATTTATTAGAAAACACAGGCTAGACTCCTCACACGTTTCACAGATCTATAGTAAGAAGTGAGGAAAAGACAAAGCATTCCTTCAGTCAGAAGGAATGAATCTTGTCTGAAAGGATAAGGCCCAGGTGAAGGCAACCCAAGTTCAAAGTTAGGACAGTTCTCCAGCTCCAAGTCACGACTCAATCAACAATCAGTGGGACATTCTAGAATACAATTAGTATGTGCAACAACCCAAGAGAATATAGCTTTACACTGTGCAGTTACAGTATATTCCAGAAACCTCTGCAATATGTAATAAATTCTTTGATAAATTAGTTGATATGTCTAATCCATTTGTTTGGTGTGAAAAGATTTCTCAGAGCAATTTGAAAACTACTGAACTAACAATGTTGCTTGTTGCTAATTGCTATTATTTTTTAAAAAACTAAATTAGTTCTTGCCCAGCACAGAGAACGATCCCCTCCTGTGATCAGAAAAAGATTTATTATAAACTTTATCCAATTCCAATCCAAGTGCATCCGTCAACATTCCATTTGCCACCTCGTCTCTCTCAAAATCCATTGCTTGGAAATTGGACTAAGGCTTTTTAAGCCCACCTTCTTAGTTCAAGAGAGAAAGAGATTTTTCTTCACATTTTGCACCTGATATGAGCCGCCGTTTCAAACAAACATGGGTGGTTGTTGATCCAGACAAATGTGGATGGCCAATGATTAGGTCTATTAAGTAAGAAGCATTCTTCTGGATTCACCCTCCAGTGCTATGCATATTCATTCAGCTGGAAACCCTACTCCAAGCAAATACTCCCTGAGTAAATGTGTACAGCTATGACTCCGTGTACATTTGTGCCATTCCACTAATCTTCGAAAGTTAGATGAAGGAAGGAGACCTACTTGAAAATAAAACGGGACTAAATATATAAAAAAAATTCCCCAACTTGGCACCCTTCGAACAGGAGACCAAATTGTAGTTCAATACATCTGAAGGACACCAGGGTTGGAATAAGTTGGAATACAGGGAGATTTTCACATTGTGATAACATTCTTATATTTGTGGCTGAAGAAATGGCCGTTTAATATAAACAGTTAAAAGAAAGAAAAAGAATCCAAAAACTAGCTTTACTTCTTTTTCATCTCATTAATCATATCGTGCAAGCTCATAAACTTCAAGCATGGAAGGAATGAGTATTCTCTGTTTCTATAATTCATAACGATTTAAAAGCCAGCATTAAAATGTTTCAACATTCTAAATATAGAAAGAAAGCCATTTACTGTAGCCAATGCAGAATGTGAAACACTGGAATAATACATGCACAAAAGCACATCAGCAAACAGAAATCATTATATTGAAATAACAAAAAAATGATACAAATAACAACATATACGCTTTCTACAATAATTCAAAATATTATGTGTTGGTATCTCTTATTAACACAGACAAGAAATCTTTTTGTTAAATCTGAACTTTCTAGACAACTCCATTATTGGTCATAATAGAGCTACACTTTACTAGAGCAATTTAACTCTTACTGCCACTCTACACATATTAAACATACTGTCTAATTAATCACAAATGCTTTTTTCCTATTCTGTGTTTATTTGCTCTTCTGTGTCGTAACAATTAAAACACTGTAATTTACATTGGAAAAAATACTGTATTTGAAATTGCAGCCTATAAACCCACTTTGAACATAGGAGGAAGAACCATCATAAATATGAACCAGTTGCCAAGCATTTGAATTTTGATCATGTGACCACGGAGATGTTGCAATGGTCGTAAGTATGAAAAGCAATCATAACTCACTTTTTTCAGTGCCAGTCACTAAATGAACAGTTGTAAGTTGAGGACCACCTGCACATATTTGTGTTGTGATGTCTGATGCAAGTATGTCAGTCATGGCATTTGCATGATAAGTATGCCTTGGATTGATTTTCAAAGCTTTTAAAATAGCACCTGAGTCCACCAATATACTTGCTGGTTCACCTACAACTATGACATTATCTGCTGAGCTCAAAGGTATCGAAGCACACAGCACTGAAGAAGATAGTATTGCCATGGCTTGACTAAGTATGTTCACAACTCTCAAAAGACTTCAAACATTCTAAACAGATCAACTTGATGTATACAGGAAGGCTTATAAGCATACCATTTGTATTATCATGAAATACTTTTTTATTGCATTATATACCCGAGAAAACCTAAATAGATCTAATGCCTTCCTGTTTGATGTATAGTAAAAATAAACAATAACTATTGTTATTGTTACAGACCGCAATTCTTGCTTTTAGGGGGAAATTACCTGTTGATCATCAGGTGTCCATATGCCACAGGTGATCTGACTCTCCAGGTTAATCTCTGAAGACCAATGTCTTTGTCCACTGACCGATCCAACCAGCACAAATCCATCTCTGTATGATATAAGCGCTTGTGTTCCATCATGGCTCCATGTAAAATCGCTCACCTTAACATATAAGGATAGGCATTATTTTGACTAGATATTCCAGCCTTTTTTTAAAAGCACACAACATAGAAAAATAAACACAGGTTCAACCAATTCACATCCATATTTTCTGAGATCTCTAGTTCACAAGGTCATCAAATTTCTCTCATAAAAAGCCCACAAGTAAGGATCTTCAATGCCCATAATTTTGGCAATGCCATCATACTGTATCATTTTATAATTCAGTTTTGTTTTTTTTGTTTTTTTAAAACTCTACCCTGTATCCTCCAGATTAAATTTATCAAAAATAAAATTTGACCTAAGTAGAATACGTAGGTGTGTATTTAATCTTTTGAACTGAAATTTATCAGATTTAAAAATGGTTAAGTATTTTAGGTTGCTTTACCTCAGGGCTGTCAAGCTCATGGCCTGCAGGCTGGATGCAACACATGCTTGGCCACGCCCACCCCCATTTTAGCAAAGGGGGGGAAAGTCATGATACATCACATGATGACAGTGTGATGCCACGAGTTTGACACCCCTGCTTTACCTTTTTAAACATATGAAGATTACATTTGAACTTCATACTAAACTATAGTTTAACCATAATTTATTGAATAGATTGGGTTTGAACAAGGCACATGATAGGTATCCCTGAAATGTTCTGAGCTCAGGGCATCAGCCTATTACTATTCCTGCTCTTCTTCAGGGAACAAGCATTACTGTTATGTCCAAGTTATAGGTATCTTATCCAGGGAGTTTAAATGGCACACTTAAATTGTTGATTTTTTTTTTGAAAACTACTGAAAATTAAACTATTCTGGACAGCTGAATAGATATTGTTATATCTATAACAGTATAAAACAGAATAACAGAGTTGGAAGGGACCCTGAAGATCTTCTAGTCCAACCCCCTGGCAGAAATCTATTTTTGTTTTCTATGATGATGATGATTGTTTTGTTGCCCTGATTTATTGTTACTATTTATATAATTATTGGATTATAAGATTGTAGCGTGGATGTGTTAAGGTGTATTATATATTTTGTGTAACCCACAGAGAGTCTTGATTATGGCAGCATAGAAATAAGTTTAATAAATAAATTAGTTTCGATATTGACAATTGGTATCCCGGTTTAGCAATTAGTTGTTATTCTACTATGCTAGAACCCATAGTCTAAATACCATGAGAAATAAAATGTACAAACTCACCCTTTGTGAGTTTACTAACATATGCTAGGATTAGCATCACAATTGAATGTAATGTTATTGTTACTTGGAATGATAACTACTTAAAGCTCAAGTAATAAAAGTTTCATTGGTATTTCAATTATTGTTTAGAGAAAAGTTATCAATGACCTATAGGTAGATCCATATAGGCGGAGTAGAAATAGCATAAGACTCCCGTACACTCAGCCTCTTGCTCCATTTGTCCTTGTGGTAATTCACCCATAAGCATTTGTTTCAAATCCTATTCCAGAAATAGCATACTGTCTTTTTGCTACTTGCCTCAGGGTGAGCTATAGAAAATATGCTAATTTTACAGGCTTTTCAGTTAAAACATTTCTCTTAACAATTCCATTTTCCTACTTTCTCCAGGCAGTTTTTCCCCCTTTATTTTCTTTTCAAAGTCAAGACAATTCCCAAGACCAAACCAAGTGGTGTTTACTAACCTGTGCTCCACGATCGTTCACAAGCTCCACAGACCATCTGCCTTCATACTGAATCCAAACAAATATTCCACCATCAGCATCACAAGTTGCCAGCTTCTGGAAGGGTTCATTCCATCGTACAAGAACCACCTAATATTTTAGAAAGCACATTTTTTTTCTCAAATTTTATTCTGGATGCCAACAGTTGATTAGAATTTCAATTATTATGAAGAGAATAAATAATACTAGATTTTAAATTAAGATTACAAAAGTTATAAATGTTCAACATAAACATTCTGCAAGTGAAAAAGCAACTAAGAATAGTTCAACTCTCTCCAACACTTTAAAATGGAAACTAAGAACTTTTTAAAATATGTATCTTTTTTTATCTCAATTATTTCTTCAGAGCTTTAATCAATTTCTTTTGTAAGTCCAATAAAAACTCCTTATTCAAGTAATTTTATGTGGGGGGGGGGGAGGAAAGGGGGGAAAGAGAATGAAAAGTTTAAGATTTGAAAAAACAACCAAAAAAAGAAAAATAGTTTGAAAAATAAGTATAATATTAGAAAGCAACAGAAGAGGGGAATACAGAAGAGAGAATTAGAAGTACAGAGACAAGGGGGTAAAAAGGGGAGGGAGAAGAAGAGAGGGAAAAAGGAAAGGAAAAGAAGTTATAAAGGACAGAAACAAGATATAGAGAAGCAGGGCCTATTTAGAGATAATAGGTGAAAATTTAATTGAAAAAGGGATTCTGCAAAGGTACATAAGATAGTATTGTTATATTAGAAATAGAAATAATTTTAGAAAATTTGAAACAATGTCTGATTAAAATGATGGATAAAATAGTTATTGTAATCAGTGAAATGTTTGTTAATAAATAAATGAAATAAAACGAATGAGAGAATTGAATTAGGAAAGGATGGGAACATTTTAATTATTTAATGTTTTATAAAATATAAGTGAAGAGGAATAGGAGGAAAAAATTAATTATGGAAAGCTTATAAGTGTTCCCAAGGAAGTATGATATTTAATTGAAAAGAAATGTTAAAGAAGTTAAGATTTTAATGAATATTAATATTAATGATAGAACTGAATTGGAATGGAATGAGTGTTTTAATTACATATATTTATAATCTCTTTTTAAGAATATAGTGTGTATTTTAAGAATGTACCAAGCAGAATTCGACTGGAAGTTATATATTATATTGAATGTTATAACTTTAAGGTATACATTGAAGCTTAAATAAGAGTTGAATGGATAAAACTAAAAGATATAAAGTGTCATACTCCAATTAGTAACTACAGGAGAAAATTTGTTTAATGAGAAAAGATAATATGAAATTGAAACAGGACAGACAAAAGTATAAATATAATGATTTGAATTGAGATGAGATAATCAAAATAAAATTGAGAAAATTAAAAGAGGGGAAAAACTATGTAGAAAATGTAAAATAGTAATAAGATATGGAACAGAACATAAAAATGAGCATGAAATTGAGTTTGTGTCTGTACAAAGAAGTGTAACCCGGGACCATGCTACTTTCAAAAAAAGATGTTTTATTTGTAGTATGTTTTTTTGTGTGTGTGAAAACCCAAATAAAATTTTCAAAAAAACCCTAACCTCCTTATTCAAGTCAATTTCTTGGCTTGTCATTTATATTTCCAATTTAGATGTTTTCTATTTCAGAGTCCATTTTTCAGCACTCCTGCAAATTCTTTATGTTCTGGTATTTCTAATTCAGGCAAAATTTGTTTTATAACTTTACCTTGTACATCTTCATGATGTTCCCTTTCACATCACCAATTTCTGCTTTAATGTCTTTGGGACATAATTTATTCATAGAAGCATGCATTATTGCTAAGATTAAAGCTACTATTTTTTGTTCCCATTCTTCAAAAATCTCCCTAAGTATTTTAAAGTTTTAAAGTGTTTTCTGTCATTTTGCAAGTTCCAAGGCTGACCAAAGAGTCACTTTCCCTTTCATCCTGGAATCATTAGTTCCTTCTAGTATTTTATTTCTTAAATCATAAAGTCTCAAATTTCTGTTTGGACTTAGGATAGACTACCCAAATGGGTTCCCATGAAAATGTTATTTATATAACTATTTCTAATATCTTATGTCAAAAATCCTAATATTCCATTTGTAATGGAATGAGTGGACTACTTTGGAGAAAGCAGGGAAGAGATGCTGCCTACAAAACAATCAGTCAAGAGGATCAGTCAACAATCAGTCATATGGATTTGAGTAGAGATTTGGTATTTCTATTTCTCACTACCTTTTTTCAGTTAATTGAATTGCTATTACTTAGCAATATCTTGGGAGGCATGTGTACATCTTCACCTGTTCATATGTTTTTCATTCTCTCTTTGTGAACTCCTGGGAATGTTTTACTGAGAAAAAAAATCAGTGCTAAAACAGAACCAAATATAGCCTAGAAACAAACCCCAGCAGCGGAGTAGGCAATTCTATTATGTTCTAATACAGAGTAGCAAGTTCAGCTTAAGAAATAAATATAATACAGTATTTCAGGAGTCTAAAAACAAGAGAGTTCATTGCCTCTAGTCATTACATACTCTCACTCTTACACAACTTTACCTTAACACGTCAAATATTCCTTAACAAATAACTCATGGCACATCATAACACATAGCTGACCATAATGGAAATATTGCATGCAATCCTTCTTGCACATTTTGTTTTTACAGTCAAATGCTAAATTAATTATTTCTTGAGAAACACTCTTTTTGTCCTTATAAAAATTGCATGGGCTTTAAAATATGTTTTAAGATTTTTTCAGTTCTGTTGCTAGAATGTGGAACGAGCAAGTGAAAACTATACAAACGATTATTGAATCACAACAATGAAAACCCTCTCTAAAGATTTCTATATCTATTAAATATAAATCAGGAGCTGTTCAGTTTTGCTGCTAATGTGGCATTATGGATAGAAAGATGAATAAAGGTTAACCAACATTTAAACTGCTCCTTAGTTGTAAAGGTCATCGATAAAACACCAATTACCATCTGTGATTGTTATTAAGACAGCATGGAAGAATCCCAAGCAGGTAACCCTAAGCCTCTTCTTGGAAAGGCTAAAAGCATAAAATACTAAATAAAATAATTCAGCTATAATACTTTTATATAATAAGTCTCGGGTTCATTTATGGAATACTATTTCCAGGTATATCAAAAACACGAATCTCTTTCCTCTACCAAAATTCTTCCATGCTGCTAAGCCTTTCATTGTCTGTATGTTAGTATTTTAGTATTTCATAAAGATTTTTAAAAAGCAACAGATAAATCGTGACAAAATTATGTCTTGTTTCTTTTTAAAAAAAGAAATCTCAGGACAGTTTTATTGCGTGATGTATCTTTAAACAATGAGGCCAACCTAATCCCTGCTATAGCCATCCATCCCAATACTGTCTGTTTCACCAATATGAATGCCTCTTTTTATATAATAAAAAAATAACAGAAAACAGTGTTTCCCAGCCTTAACTGGAGATGGCAGAATTGAAATCTGGTATCATTAGTATGATCAGCTTATATGTTACCCATCAGCTAGGGAATAAAGTAGATAATTGTCCTCAGAAGTAGAAGCTGTTACCAGAGCACCAATCATTAACCTGTAGAAAATACTTCAGATAAAATGATCCACCTGGAAGTCACAGCTTTATTATTGGATATTGAAGGGGGGGGGGAGTCAAACCAGGCCAAGTAGATTTTTTTTACTACAATAATGATCTTCCAGAGACAAGAAAACCTGATGAATTTATTTGCTCTTTCACATATCAACACAGTCAAATACAGTTTTTATTATAGAAAATTCATGTCATCTTTACCAAAGCAATACCTTAACTGCATTTCTGCATAAGGCAAGCCATTTTCCTCTACAGCACTGTTATGGACCAGTGTAAAAATATACTCAATTTTCCATCGTAAGAAAAGAAGAAAATATATTTTTAATATTTGTAAGTGGCTGCTAAATTCTTTACAAAGCTGATTCTAGAGATAACTCTTCAGGATAGGCACATAGGGTTCATATTATGTAATATGGGTTATGATTTTCCCACATATGCCTGACTTGTTTCAGGAAAAGGAGACAGCCTTCAGACCTTTTTGTGTTAGCATACAGATCAGTGAACTGATCATCTGCTTCCTTCCAAGCCTTTATCTGTCTTTCTTTTTGTTGTATTTTGTTTTTTGTTGTGCCTTGTAGTAGCTTTCAGGACAGTCTCTGCAAACTCAGGTTATGAGGCTATTTTATAAAAATCAACCACTTGCTAAAGGAGGTGGGGTAGAAGCAATGTTTACATAACAATGAATATTCCCTGTGTGCTTGTGTGTGTGTGTGTGTGTGTGTGTGTGTGTGTGTGTGTGTTGGAAATAATAAAGCAGCTATAGGCAAGAAACTCAAATTCCACATTATAGGCAGAATTCAATTGAATCAGAAGCATTTCTATTAATTGGGAGAATATATGAAGGGGCATTAAAGAATATCTACTGAAACTAGTACACTACGAAGGCTTACTGGATCTTGAAGAAACAAAACTGAGGGGATGGTTCTGTAGGAAGTTAGCACCCAGCCCTCTCCTAGAAAAAATATCCAAGGAAATATTAAAAAGGCAGAATATTTCCCCTAAAAAAGAGTAGAAACCAGGAGTGGGATTCAAATTTCTTAACAACTGGTTCTGTGGGCATGGCCTAATTTGTGGGTGTGGCTTGGTGATCATGTGATTGGGTGGGAGTGGCTTGACGATTGGGCGTGGCTATGTGGTCATGTGACTGGGGTGGGCGTGGCTATGTGGTCATGTGACTGGGGTGGGCATGGCCATGTGGCTGGCAACCCAAATTTAAGTGGTCCTCACTTAATGACCAGGTGCTCGCTTAGCGGCCAATTGCTTAGCAAGTGCTTTTTGCCAGTTTCCAAGGCCTGGGGAGGCCAAGGCAAAGCCCAGGAAGGTGGCCATGTGGCTGGCAACCCAAATTTAAGTGGTACTCACTTAATGACCAGGTGCTCACTTAGTGGCCAATTGCTTAGCATGATACAAGGATTAATGCAAATTGGAAAGGAAAAACTGCAGAGATTGTGCACAAGTGATTTGTACCAACCAACATACTATGTAACTGAAGATGGTTTATGTTTTAT